TCAGTTATGATAATATAGTTGTTTTGATGTCATATAGTTGTTTTGATGTCATTTGCTACATAATTCTGTTTTTAGCCGTGGCGATATTGTTTATTTGATCTAATTTAGATTATGCTACCATTCGCTTATTTATCTAAACGTATATTACCATGCAAAATGTGGGGTATTGGTATGTGCTTTTCATCGGCAGCGACACCTGCACCAGGCAGGATATATACACAAAGAGAACTGTTTGAAGTGAAAAAAGCTATGATGACAGTATGTAATTCTCTGTTGCTTTCCAATTATTTTTTTTTGAACAGTGGGATAATAGTCGCGAGTTGAGAGTTCTCAACGGTTTTGCCTTAAACTATGAGATGACCTTTTAGATATTTAATGTGTAGCAGTCTGATAGTCACATCTCATCTGGATTAATTTAAAACAATTTGGGTTTGTTTTTGTAATTTCAAAGTTTTTACTATGTAGTTGCTAACCTTTTTGCAGTTTATCAATCTTCCTTCGTTCTCGTCATTCCCTCCATTGATTTGAAGTTGATTTTTTTATTATTTTTGGTGCGAAAATTTTGGGTAGAACGTTTCATGACTGAAAAAATTACGGCTGCATTCATCACTGTTTTAGTCAAACAATCCTGAAAGTTATGCATTGGCATCTGCATTTATGAATCATCGGGCCGATCGTCCATCGAACTACAAACCCGATGTGCCCATGGGTATTGCTCTTGTTGAGATCTCTGAATCAATATGAAAATACTGTTGATCAAATTAAAACTTGAGAATAACTGTACTTTGAATAGAGGTATCTAAAAATGTTCAGCAATAACTTTAATAACGAATTTATGATGAGGAATTGTGCCATTTTTCTATGAAAACTATTTCAGTTTGATTCAAGGTAATTGATAGACTTTTATTTCAGGTCGATTCATCCAACCTTCTCTTAAGGAAAAGAGACTTCTTGTTTTAACAAGAATCTACAAACGTGTATCTGATATTCCGGAATCTATTAGGTGGGAGATTCTAGCTTCGGTTCTTAGCTATAAAAAACGGTGTAGATACAATTTTGAATTGATCGATTGATTTCACATCAAATTTGTTTTAAATCCTCACTTTTAAATTATTAGAGTAGAGATTTACAGTTTAATGCTTGATATTTCAGTGAAGTGAGCATTGCAATGATGATGGAGCGTTTAAATTTCGTGGCTTCGATGTTACTGATCTTTTCAGTTTTTTGCTCATTTTTGATTACCATAAACATGATGTATGATGTGATGCTAATGGTAGAATCTGATTAGTAAGACATTTCTATGATACTTTCCATGCAACATTATGTCATTCGATATTCAGTTATTGGTACAATCATTCTCATAGAATTGAATTACTTTTTTTAAGTATAGTTCCTATATTATGTAATAAGGACTTGTTTTTAGTTTAATCAATAGTCAGATCTCTAGCACCAATCTAGTTGAAATAAATTTATCATAAGCTGCCTTTTTTATTATGCTCTATAACTGCAATCATTTCATTTAACCATTCTTAATTTCTTCCAGTTGTTGCATGGAAGTTGATGCTATTTTACTTACTTTTATCTGAACACGTGTGAGATTGTATAGTAGTATTTCAGCACTTTACCTTTTGATATGTTCAGTATTTATCATACCTTATTGTAATAGCATATGTAATAAGCGCTTTATGCAAATGCTAGGGGGAAAAAATTTTTCAACTCTCTTTATGTGTACTACCGGGTTTCTGTTACCTATGATATTGCTTTGTAGAGAAGTCTTAATGGTGTGCAGACTGTAAACAATGGAAAAATATAACTACCTACAACAATAAATTAATTGTTGAGTGATAAAATCCTTATTCTATGATAGTCTTTGCATCTGTGTGAGCTGTTTTAAAAAATAGGGGAATCTATTTTTGTTTGAACTGGTTATGATTATTTTTTGAGTGTACTAGAAATTTAAAATAGTGTAGTAGTCTAAAAAAATTACGAAAAGCAATGGCATTTTTCATGACTCAGTTCATTATTTGGTTTTCCTGAGTGTTGTTTTAAATAATTGAGTGGGATCTGTAAAAGAGAAAGAGCTTGTGATATGTTTGTAAGAAATGCTGAAAATGCAGCATTGAAATTTTTTGCATAAAATTGTAATAGTTTTTTCTCTCGTAAGTCTCAAGAATAAATCTGTACAGAATTTGAAAAGAATTCTGATCTAAATTCTTTCTCAGTATGCAGACTAGTGGTGAGCATCAGTCTTGAACCATCAAAACTTGATACCTCTGTTGGAGGAGATTTGAGATGTTTTGAAGATGGTTTTAATTTGTTATCATTTTCTTTTAAGTAAGTCAGTATTAGTATCTGAATCAAAGGTGAAAAGCTCTCTGTCAGATGAAAGAGTAGTGATGGGTGGGGAGCTAGGCTTCTCTAGTTGGAGAGGATGCTCTCATATTTGATCAGTTTCAACATGAAAGAGGAGTGTTTTTGCTAAATATGAGGCTAGAAGGATTCAGTTTGGCATGAACTTCTTCAGATGCTGGTAAGAGAATGGCATTAGAAATGAGATTGATCGTGTTGCAGCGACATCAAACGTTACAAACAAACGTAATACCATTGATTACAGTGCACAAAAAGCATCTAATTGAACTAGTATGATAGCACATTTTGAAAGTCAACACGAAGCAAGCTAAGTTCATTGTCTTAGCGAGAAAGTTGATGAAAAGATGGAAATTTTCTAGACAAGCAGTTTGGTCAGGATTTATACGTGATCTTCATAGGTAAAAATAATGATCTGTTGATGAAGAGATTTTTACTTCGCGGTTACTTTAAGGATTTTCAGTGAGTAGATGATGATCTAAAGATATTAAGTGATTGAGATCTCCTTCAACTGAAACTAGGACAAACATCTATAGAGATGGAGTGCTGATAAAAAATTCAAGCAGTACTTCATTTAATTTTGAGCAGTGATATCTGATTCAGTATCCTTGATCTGAATTGATTAAGCTCTGAATGCACATTTTCAATTCTATTTCATAATAACTGGATATTAGCATATGATATAGTATGTTAGCAAACAATTGAGGACTACTGTGATACATGATTATTTTATAAAACATCAATTACAATAATAACTGATCATAAATGAGGAAAATAGTAAAGTGCCAAAGTTATACAAGACGATATGAAAGTGATATGTGATGAACCTGTTTTTAGATGCTGGAAATCGGAAATAAAAATGTAATTGCCGAATAAGTAAGTAGTAGAAAGTGAAGAATGCCAAAAGTTTCAGGCAGAAAGTGACTCGTTCTAATTTACAATTGTTTTGGTTCCAAGTCAAAAGGTTTCGTTCCACTTTCTGATGAAGGAAAAAAGTCAAAATTTGCTTTTTCTTTAAATAATTCGATTGTAATATGAAACTGCCTTCAAAAAAGCACTCAAATTACACTCTGGAAGCAATGCATACAAAAGTAAATTTTATCAGCGAAAGAAAGCATTGTCACCTTGACGGGAATCATTATTGTCAGTTGAGGAAGACTCGAACAAGTTTACATGTCAGAATGATTACGTGAAGTCAAGAAGTAATAACAGTTGGGTTCCCAAGTGATTCCTGCTGGACCTGAATTTTGCAACAGATGCAATCACTATTTTCGATTACAAATCTTTGCAACTAATTGAATTTTTCTCTAAACAAATAAATGATTATTACGTAAGTGGAATCAATTTAATTGCTTTGCACTTACAATGATGGCTTTGAGAAATTATTCCTTGAAGCCTCATTAATAATAATAACAACAATAGTAGCAATATTACTATTGTGTAATAATAGGGAAGTAGTAAATAACAATAATAATAATAATAAATTAATAACAAATAATGATTATTAATAATAGTAATTAATAATTATTAATAATTATATACAATTAATAATAATAATAACAATAATAAACATAAATAATAGTAATATTAAACTTTACTGAAATTCAACCGAGATTTCAAAATTTTAAGATAATTATACAAATTTTTTACATTTAATGATAGAAGCCTTAAAGATTGGAAAATTAATGCAAATCAAAAGTTTTAAGGAAAAAATCCCACAAAAATAGCCAATGAACTAAAATTAACAAGCAAATTATGACCTTTAAATATAAATATTTTACGAGAAATACTGTGTTTGATAAAAATTTGAAATGTATAAATTCAAAACTAGCACCAAAATTTTCAATTACAATTTTAATGATTTTTTTGTGCAGAAAAACTTGTTGAAATGAATTATCGTGCATAATGAAAAATTCTAAATGATAAAATTTTTAAATAGGAATTCAGCAGAAAAGGACTAAAGCTTTTATCAAATTTTTTAAAATATTTTTTAAGACGAAATTTGCAAGCAAAATATAAGTGCATTGTTACCTACAATTTTGCTGAAGTAATTGAGAAAAAACAATAAAGCAAATTAATAGTAGCATCAAAGTAAAGTAATTATACTGCTAGCAAAAGGCAAAGTGCATCTTTAGAAAATGAATTATTATTAATTATGACAAATTAAATTTCATTAGCAATTTATTGACTCTCACTTTTATTGCATGAAAAAACACAAATTCGCAAAATAGTATTGTATGTCGAGACTTACTTTATTACATTACTTGTCGAGACTTACTCATAGTGTAAAGCACTCATAGTGTACTTCTGAATTCTCTCACCTTGTCTTCATTCCCTCATTCGTTTTTCATTATGCACAAAATAACTCAGAAATATTATTACTTGCTTTCCAAATTAACAAACTACCGAATTCACATGCAGAAGTTATCATACACTTTGGAAGTTGTAGGTGTTGAAGTATGAGTATAAAAGGTATGCAAACTAGCAAACAACAAGCATTCTTCTCGTAAGAATTCTCGAGACTTATACTTGTTTATGCTTGTCTTGTACTTGTTTCGTCTATTTTATTGTTTATATATTTTCGTATAAGTACTCAACTTATTTTTAGTGATATTATTTTAAATCACTTTACCCCTCCTTACTTTAAGGATTAAAAATTTTGTTTGATTAATGGTTGTTATGTATTCTCTATTCATTGTGCTACAGAATCGCTAATCGTTAATGCTTCTTCATGACAAATACTGATGTTACTTCTTCATTTGTTATTTTAAACTTTGATAAAGCAATTTCTGCAACTAATAATAATTTTCATTTAAGTACTAAAAATAATTTTTCGTGGAGTGAAACAGACTTGAAAATTTTGAATGACTGCAATTATCAGATGAATTAATTTACTGAAGGCATGCATTTTGTTGATAATAACTTCCAAGTGCTTGGAAATTTAAAAAAATTTTTTTCTCGTATAATTTTTTCGGAAAAATTTAAAAATATTAATGGCAAAAATGTGTAAGCTAAAAATCGATGAATAATAAAAACATTACAGATAGTTTATTATGCAAATTTGGTTACCATCTATTATGATGTAAAGTAATCATGAAATAATTTCTACATATCTGAATACTATCAAATCTTTTAAATCACGTTTCAGCAATTTTTATCATTCAGTCTATGGCCCACATCAAAATTATATTTGCGCTTTTTATTCTGAGCCATTGCAGAATATCAACTCAAAATTATGGCTATCAAATCAATAAATAATATAACTGCTTATGAGAATATTGCTGGATTACAGTACAATATTTTATTTACCGAAGAAATGAGATTCTTCATAGAAAACTAAATTTTCAAGAATTCTTTGCTTTTGTGCATTTTCATAGAAAATTTTTATCTTCGATGAGAAAGTTTTTTTAATCACAATAAAGTTATTGTTAATAAATATTAACAATGACAATTTACTTTTGACATAATAATTTTTATCAATTATATTGCATGTGAAAAAACTTGAAAGTTTTATTGTTTCATTTTTCATTTTTCTAGTTTTGCTGAAATTACTACTAGTAAATAAAAAGCACGAACTGCTTAAAAACATTTATATATGCCAAACTTGCAGGTGGCAAAATTTTCAAATTTTTTTCAAAGGTAAATCAAACTTATTAAACATGAATCATCGTTAAAACATTTACGCTTATGTATTATCCAATGGAAAGTAATTAAAGAGCTTAAAGCATCTGAAATCCTATTTCACTACAGTACTATGCATGATTGCTAGAAACTTTCGGTCAATTTGAAAACTAATATTTTTGCGAAAATTTAAAAAAATAGTTGGCAGCTTAAATTATTTATTGTGAATTTTTGTGAATCAGACTTTAAAACTAAGCAAAGAAAATTGAAAATGGAGCAATTTTTTAAACTGACACTTTAAAAATAACTTAGGAATTCAAATTAATATACTGTTTGTTTTCGTGTCAAGTTTAAACTTGTCATGCAACGTAATTATCACTTGAAGTGAGAATATCACTGCAATCAAGCATTATTTTTCATGGAAAATCAAATGAAATGGAGTATTTCACAAAAAGTCTGAATTTCAGGCTATGATGTGGCTTTTATTAGCAGCAACTTTGTCTTTGACATTTGTTTTCCATGAAGTGACGGGTCAAAGGTCGACAAATCAGCAAACAGTTGCATTCCGGCAAACCTGTAATGATGCACCAACGCCATCTCATCGTAGTATATGTTTAAGTGTGAGTTAATTTTAGAAAATTGAAGAATTATTTTGTTATTTGAAACAACCAAAAAACTATTTTTAATTTTGTTTTGTACCAATATTCAAACCACCAATATTTCAATTACACTTTGTAGCTCTCATTTTTGTCCCTCACTCTTACATAACTTTTAAAACATAACAAATATTTTAGCTACAAAGAATGGCAAGAAATTCAAGTCGGAATCAGCAAATTTTGACCGTCCATCCACCGGGCATTCCGGAACATCTCAGACCTGGCGTGATAATGCCAGGTTCACGTGGACAGGTCGCAAGCCATCCTTACGATTGCATGACTATTCCTTGTCTGTGTCCATACCTCAGAGTACTTTTTTGCTCAGTACTTTTCTTTATTGCAAAAAAGATATTCACTACACAATAATTAATGGAATTGCGAAAACATCATTTACTATATTTTTTGGAATTGAGAATTTCTCATACAAAAGCATGAACGACAAGTCATATGCAATCAATCAACCGAAGTTTTCGTTTGATTTTTAGACTCAAACCATTACGAATTCAAATAATTTTTACTGTAAATGGAATGAGAATAGCCATTGAGCAATGCAGCGGCAATTTGCATATACTAAAGCTTTTTTAGGGTGCGATTGACCCTAATAATCAATGTATACTTCGAAATGGTCAAATTATGACGATGGCATATCGAAAAGAATATCGCATGCTGACGGAAGATGAAAGATTACGATATCACAACGCTTTGACCATTCTAAAACGAAGTGGAGAGTATGATCGTATCGGTTTGGAACACCAATCAGTCTGTTACTTTTGGTTTCAAACAACTGTCTTCGAAATTAAAACTAAAATAGGAGGATATTTGTTTATTTACTCTCATGAGTGTAAATGTAAAGTTAAATGCACGAATCAGCTAAAGTATAGAGTAGTCATAACTTTTTAAGCAATAGCAACACTTAGAATTTTTGAAATTGCTGTATGAATTTTAATTTTGCATTTAATGGAGTTCTTGAGGTTGGGTCAGGAAGCGGTGCGCATTCAGGACCCGGTTTTCTCCCGTGGCATCGCGAATTCATTAAGAGGTCAGCATGCTTTATCACTGACACTTAAAATTCATGTATCAAACATATAATGCCTATAACTAAGGATTGTATTCGCTTTAATTTTATAATTTTGTTTCTTTATATTGTCGTATTTTCTCTTTTTCAACATGTTGTTATTCACATCTCTTTCTTTAGATTCGAAATTGCTCTTCGTTTAATTGATCCATCAGTGTCTATACCCTACTGGGATTCAGCATTGGATAGTTACCTACCTAATCCCCGAGATTCTATTTTATTTAGTCCATATTTTGTCGGTGAAACAGATATGTTTGGAAATGTTGTTAATGGTCCATTTGCATATTGGAGTACACTTGATGGTCGAAACGCTATACTCAGGTTTAATATGAAATTGAGCGACGAATTGTTTCTCAGAAATCCCTCATTTTTATTATATTTTAAATTTCAATCAAAATTTAATATTCATAAATGATGAAAAATTATGATAAGTTATGGTTTGATTACGATAGAAAATTGATATAATAAAACTGAATAAATGTTTGTTTTAGGAATCTTGGCCAAGAGGGTCAACTTTTCACGGAAGCAAGCATAGGTCAAGTAATGCAACAAAGTGCAATTGAAAACATTTTAGCCTATACTGCGCCTTTTCAAGGTATTTATTTATTATTATTTAATTAGTTAAAAACTAATCATTGCGGCTGCGAAACTAAGAATACTCAAGGTAATATTTCATAGAAATAAATTATTGATTAGCCTATTTTTCACTAGCGATTCCTTCCACCAGTACTCTAGTCTGCTAGTGTCTTGAAACCTAAGAAAGTTACAATATTGGCTGTTGGTAATAAATTGACTAAAAAAATTATGAAAAATTTTGGCTTCATAACTATATTACTGATTTTCCTGATGGTGCCAATTTATCAATCAATGGTACCAGTTCACAAAACTAAAAACTTCTTCTGATTATTTATAACTAAAAAAATATGTAATGTTTTCAGGTTGTCCTTATCCCATCAATTATGGTGCTTTAGAGTATTCACACTCAAATGTTCATCTTTGGATTGGTGGTCATATGAAACCAACAGATCAATCCACGAATGACCCAATATTTTACGCTCATCATGCATTTGTTGATTTCATTTGGGAACTATGGCGACAAAATATGCAGCCAGCATGGATTCGTGAACAAGTAAAATATCTGTTGCTTTAGAATACCAATTAAGGAAAATTAAAGATTTTTCAGTTGCTAATGTTTTCCGATAATACTATGAACTTTAACTGCTATTCCAGGCATACGCACCTGATATAGCACAATGCGCCGATCCGCAACACTTTAGTTATGCTTTAATGCGACCTTTTTACACACTAACCAATCGGGACGGCATGTTTTCGCTTTCATTTAGTTTTTTAAAGCAAAAGGTCATTCTAAGGTTGAGTAGTTGTGTCGTAAATGTTGATAGAAGCGCCAAAATGATCAGAAGAGGGTAGTTGTGCGTAAAAACTGCACAAATAGTGCATTTCTTTTGCATGGGCATTGGCATTGGCAAATGTCAAAAAATACCAATTTGGAATCATAAGTAAGAAGAAGAGGTATGCATGTGAAAATGGATTGACCTTTCTCGGTCGGATAAGCTTAAAATTTCTGTTGTCAAATAAAGTAATTTGAAAATTCTCCGAACCCTTCCAGTTAAATCTAGTGTTTCGATCTGTATTTATATAAGCGAAACTTCTATTAAGAAAAGGTAAATTTAAATTGAAATACGTACAGTTTGAAAAAGTATTATTGAAAACAGTAAAAAAAAATATTTCGTGTAATATTGATTTTTTGAAAAATTTAATAACAAATATTTATGAAATTTAACGGGCTTTTTTCTAGTTTATCGTAGCTAAAAATAGTAAAATATTCATCAATATTAATAAATGATTGAATTATTCTCCTCATCTTCCTTACTTAAAGGAAACTATTATTATATTTAGGTTTGTCCAATATGTATACCGATCAAATGTACCGATATGCGCCCCGACCAGGCTGTACCGCTCAGCAAGCAACTTGCGGTTCGCCATATCTCTTCTGTGACACTCGTGGTTTCCCACACTGTGTTTCCAAGATCAAGTTTGGTGGATTGTGTTTTGGTTTTGAAGCCTTTGATGCTTGCTTTGATGGAATTTGCATTATGGGACGATGTGTTAGCGGAGCCACCACATCAGCGGTATGTTTTCCCTCACATTCTTGTTTCAGTTTTCCTCGTGATCTGCATCCTGTAGTTGAACTTTGCGTTCAGTCTTTGTAGATTACGTACTTCAATAAAACTTGTGTGTATGCATATAAGTCACAAAATTTATTTGCTTTTGAAAGCCGTAAAATGTATGACTCGAAGGATTATTTATTTATACGGCAAAAAGTATCAAATTTCAGTTCATAAAAATTGAGTACAGATTCTGTATTGTGTAAACTTGTAATAAAATGCAAACTTATGAAGCATATTTTCAGCAGCCATTCGTCCCTCAAATGCAGCTTTCGCAAAATCAACGACGACAGATCGAGAAAGCTAGACCTGAAATGCGACAGTTCGTGAATTGCTTTAATCGCCATCATTGCTGTGAAATGTGGGCTAGAAATGATGAATGTCGTCTAAATGCTAATTATATGAGACAATATTGTCAAGCTGCTTGTCATGTCTGTAATCCTTCATATAATGCAAGTAATGGTAAGTTTTACTGAAAATGACTTCAGTTATTTTAATAATTTCCGGAAAACTTTAATAGTTCACGCAAACATAAATCGCGAGCTTTTTTATACTAGCGTTTTTAGTTTTAATTATTATTTATATAAATAATATCTCTTGCTCTGATCTAACACTCAAATGTTAGGTAAGAAAATCATGAAGACTGATATTAAATATTAGCTTATGGCATTAGTCAAACTTGAACTTATTTCATTTCTATGCAATCAAATATTGATATGTTGTGACCACATGCTTGCATCAAACTTTTCAAATTTATGCAGTTTTAAAAATGAAAATGAGACAGAAGAAAGGTTGCAGAATGCCCGGATCGGCATATTTCATGTAGGCAGTGGAGTATGGAAGGTCAATGTCGAGGGGATTCTAATCAGTTTATGGCCGAAAATTGCCGTCAATCATGCGGCTTTTGTAATAGATCGAAAGAAGCTTCTTGTCCAAGGCCATCACGGGTCACTTGAAGAATTACTAGTGATTTATTAGTATAAGTGATAAGACAAACTTTTAAAAAGTTCTTATTACGTACCTAAGAAAAAAATGTTTATCAAATACTTCACCATGAGCAAATTGCAACCTTTTGGTACACTCTTTTCAAATTTTATTTCAGGCTTCTTCACAAAATCAGATCTTTTCAATGCGTTCTTCAGTATCAAGAAACTGAGCATCAGTTGATACACTCCAGAGATTATATAACTCAGAAGTGAGTAATATTAAAAAGTTTTCTTAGCAAACATAAACTAAAGAGAATAATCTGTTTTGTATTAGAGCCGAGAATGAAAAATTCTGAAGAAATGAGAAAAAAATTCTTGTAGACCAAAGATGCTTGCTGAATTTGTGGTTTGTAAATAAAGTTGCTCACTACGAATTTTTTCTTGTTAACATAAAACAATAATAGAATAGAATGAGGTAAGTTAGCGACGAAAATAGTATTGACTTTTTTAATAATATCCAGTATAATTTAGTATATTTACCGCTTATTTTCCACCTAATCGGAACAAATTTTAGAATTACAAATTTTAATAAAAGTCTGCTTGTAATCTGTCCATGAATAACTTTTGAATTCGCTTGACAATGCGAAAATTCCTTCCTCTATTAAATTTACTTCAAGTATTAAAAAAAATGCATCTGATGTAATTTTAGCGACTAATTCAGTTCATTATTGTTATTTTCGCTCAACAACACTTGTACCTAATTAATGTCAGTTTCTTTCAGTTGTGTAACTATTTGGTGTCACTGGAAAATTTGCAGGTTACTGTAGCATACTGATAACAAAGTATTAAACTGAGTGGCTAACATAGCTGTGGTCATTTTGCATTTTTTTGTTATTAATTATTTTAGTGTGAAGAAATTGAGCACCAGTTAGTACATCCTGCAAATCTGAATATAAAATCAAAATCAAAAAAGCAATTAAACTCATTCATTTATATGGCCTCCGCTTTACTCTGAGCTTAATTTTTTGATTCCGTTATGCGATTATCTTCATTTTAATGCCTTTTCACAGTTTGCTTTGCTCATTATTCGAATTTGACCTGATAAAATAAAAGACCTTGTATTTAATAATCAAACAAGCTAAACTACACATTCATTTATTCGTGGTAAAAGCCAATATATAATTTGAACAAACCAAAAATCAAAATTGCGCAAATATTAAAATAATAAAATTTTGGAGAGCAGGGAGTACAATCATATTTTCAAAGACGCAGTGAATAATGAAGTAGCAACATTGTTGAGTGCAATGTCTTCAGGTTTAATTTATGAAAATTTATTTCTGTACTTATGAATGCTTTCTTTCTGAATTCATGAAACTTTGCGCGTAAATTATGAATTAAAAGTGGTTTAAACTTCAGTTTGCGTGATGCAGTAAGTTTCTTCTGTTGTTACGAAATTTTCGGGAGTCGAAACTCGAAATATGCAGTAATAGAACAAGTTTTTAGAAACTGAAATGGAAAAGTAAATAATTGAGTAAAATGATAATTTAAAAAGGCATCGTATACAATAACATCCGTCAATTTATGCAAGTTTTGAAGAAATGTAAATTTTAGTTTAATACTTTCAAAATTCTCATTCAATCTTTACTTAATGAAAGGTTAATAAAATTTCAATCAGTTTCAAAGTAGACTTCGTTAGAAAATTGGAGTTTCTTTGCTTCCAATGCATAATCAAGTATCAATAACAACAACAATAGTAATAACTTGCCATTAATGCAGTGTGTTTCTGATAAGTATAAATTAAATTAATATTTGTTAATTGAATGTTATAGTGATTTATGAAGAAGGACTTTTTGTAAAATGCTTTTTTAAATATAAAATATTTAAATTATATTTAAGAATTGCCATGTTTTGTTTATTTTAAGGAATAGCATTTCTTAATAATAAATAGTCATTTTTATTAAAAATAAGATCCACAAGTTTTTGAAATAATATCTAACTAAGCAATGTATAAAATAACAAGAATTTTGTTTGATATTAATGAAATGATTAATTTCAATGACAGAAATGAAAAACAGTAGTTGGATTCAGAACTGAGAAGGGCATCATTCAGGTCAGTATTCATGTAATCATCACAAATGAAATAGTACACTATTTTCGACCTTCAACTTCTCGTACATATTTCTTCTCATCAAGAAGAAATTGGTAATAAAATTCAATGATATTTGATAACTTCGATTGTGTACTCTATTTTTGCAAATACAAGTTTTATTTGGAATCTTAGGAACAAAACAAAACTTGAATTCTTCACAGTTGAAAGCAAGCTCCATTATGTAAAAAAAAAAGAAAAAATATAGTTTCTTTGATTACTTATAAAGAAAGTAAAGAAAAAGGATGAGAATGAGCAAGATTGTTACAATGATTCTTGGGCAAAAAAGCTGGACGGAAACAAGAAATCTTGAAAAGTACAGAGGACCAGGCTAGTATACTTTTTCTGAAACAGGTTTCTTAGGCTAAAATAACTTTTTAAAATTATTTCGTTCTTAAAAATCATGAAAATTAATAATAGCTAAGCAATAAATCAATGATTATTAGTTTAAAATTGGAGATGTGCTTGTTTCAGAGTGTTTAAGATGAATCTTACTGTTTTAGGCCAACTGCAATATTGATAAGTCTACATGAATATGACCAATTTTGAGTATTAGTCTATTATATGCGAGGAAAGTGTAATACACGCAAAAAATAATCATGAAACTTGCATTGTGGTGAAAATTGAAGGGTGGAGAACCGGGTTGAAGAAGCAAAACAGTCTTGAATGCAAGGACTTTTTTGCTAACAAACATGCGTTTTCTTTTCATTTATCAAATAGTCAGATAACAAGGTAAAGGTTACCTGTATAAATGTGTAAATTAAACATAACGCTAATTGCTTTTACTAACCTTTTTTGCCTTTTTCACTTTCATCTATAAAATACCTCGAAAAACCGGATTACTGTGTGAGGGTTACTCTCGGGAGTGTTAAGGCGGAGAGGCAAGGGCAATCCAGAAAGAATTATATAAAAGACAAGCTTGCTCCGATGTGACATTCCTCTGCTTTCATCGGAAAGTTTTTCTAGCAATATTTAACGCAATTATTTATTTTACAGTTGCAAGTTATCATTTCCTAGTAACTTTGGAAGGCTTCTTCTGATAACTTAGATATATATATTCATGAGAATAGCTTCTTCATTCTTGCAGTGGTAATAGTAAATTGGTAATCAAAAACATAAACTGATAACGGTAATTGTAATTAATATTAAAAAATAATTATTGTTTGAAAGACTAGTTTGTTGCATTTATTAATTCTCTGATAAAAGATTTATCAATAATGGGTAGTTTTTTGTTAAAATAAGCAAAGGTGCTAACTATTTTGTGATTAAGACTTATTTTTCTCTGAAAGATACTTATTTTCATAATTAATAAACAGATTATTTCCTTTCGAAAAGTATATGAAATTAAAAAAATATTTTCGTAAAATAACAAGAAATTCATTTTGGAATGTTGTGTGGTTACTTGAAATAAAGTTGAAATAAAAAATCTTCAAAAATTAGTTCCACGAAAATTATTTTTTTTAATACCGTAAATAATTTGACATAATTCGATGAACGAGCGTTGTTAGTAAAAAGTTTGTAATTGGTGAAAAATACTCAGGATTAATTCAAATTCTCAATTAAAATTTGTTCTTAATTTCTGTTATTACTTAATTAGTTATTTTATTATTTGTTAGAAGTTCTGATGGCATTAAATATTTATATTCATTTGCATAAATTTACATAATTTATTGATTAACTGACACAGTCATTCCCCAGTTACTACTATATTTATCCATCCTTCGCTATTTAATAGATTTAATGAAAGTAATATTTTGACTAAAACTTGTTTTGCTAAAAGTCAAAGAAAAAAATGTTTATCGTATTGTAATTTAAAGGGAATTCTGAAAAATGATGCTAGCAAGCTCATTTGCCTATGAACTTTGCCATTCTAAAAATTCTTTCATTATTACTCATGGCTTATTACTTTCCAGAAACTGACCATTTAATCATTTACCAAGTTTAAAATCTGAAACTTATCAAAAATTTATTATAATCTTTTACTTATTTTTACTTTGTCACAATACTGTAAGTTAATACTTTTTTAGCCCATATTAACTGCTTTTCATATTTAATTTATCTTTATTTCAACGAGCAAAAATACTGCAAATTATCGCAATTTTTCAACTTATAATATTAAATTTTTAGTTGAATGTTTTTCATCAAAAAATAAAATTTTAATCATTTCTATCATTCAAAATATAAGTTATTAAATTAAATGGCATGAGGTAAACTTTTAATTAATCGGAAAAGATTGCGAGAAATATAAATGCTTTTGGAATTTCACTAGTAAAAAGCAAGCAGATATAAAGAAATTTCAAATAAATGTGCCGCGTTTAAAATTTGCTTACATTTCCATTCTTCTTTTGCAAACCATGTTGTACAAGGAATCGTACGAATAAATTCTGACAAGAACCATGTTCTGCTGCAATAATAATATAGCAGTCTTTAATGAAATTAATTTTGGATAAAATATTCAGCTTGTCCAAAATTATTTATCCCTCACCAAACGAAGTATTTTTTGATTTTTTTTCACCTAAAACCTAAGCTGTTTATTGGTAAAAATTACTTATATCGAAGCATAGTTCAGCGAGAATTTGATGGTAACTAGTTTGTGAGCAGTTACACACGCCATGGCAAGCTAGTATGCAAGATGATGTTCACATAAAATAAATGCACGTTCCATGTTCTATAGTGTAATACTTTTGAAAAAATCTAAGCAAAACATACTGTGTATTTGAGAAAAATAGATAATTGTCATTTTATATCAGATGGATTTGGCCCCACTCCAAACCACTTTTAAGTAATTAAACGAAGTAATTTCTCGTAATTCAACAATCATAATACTATTCATCTAACCAAGAAAACAATAAGTACATTAAAACTGGTTAATTTTGATCGTTTTTAATTAGAATTTATCTAAGTTACTCGTCATTTACAATTTTTTAAATAGGCTGAAATAAATTGTGAAATTTATCTAACATCAACGTATGCAAATTTAAGTGAACTTTTGAACCTTACTGAATTAATGTAGCTTTTATTTAACTTTTAAAGAAAATTAAAAGGGTTATTCTTTTTATTTTAAAGCCATGAAATATTGTAATCAAAATTATCATTAAAATAAAAATCAGTGTGAGACAATAAAACTACTTCAGAAATTTTCTACATCTAAAAAAAAATTTGCATTTTTGTTTTAAAATTGAATTTCCAGGTTCTGTTTGTCCATCCTGTAGGTCAACTAGAGCTATTGTTAACAGCCAACTCTATTAAAAGTCGAAAATTGTCAGTAGTCTTTAAATAGAATTATCTGCAGTAAAGTATATTAAGATGCTTCATTACCAATTTAGGCAAAAAACATATCTCTTACATCCTGCCTTACTCATTCATATATATGACTTTTGATTTATTCATTTATTCGTTACTAAGTTAATTAGCGATATTGATTAACTCATTATTTATTACTTACTTAAGACTCTTAATGAACATTATTTAAAAAAGTAATAGACAGAATACACAGTCAATTTCAAATTTAAATCGCATGACGTTATTTAAGTGACATGTTCTACTTATTTTCAGGAAAGATAAGTTGCAGAATCACTCGCATAACTTGTATTGCAATGATCAAAAAACGAATCAAGCAGTCATTAATTCACTTGCATAAATGAATAAATGAAACCTATAATTGAGATGTGCATCAAAAAACTTACAAAAGCTACAACGGATGTAAGAAAAACTTTTAATTAGCAACTGAGTAAAAAGATAAAAACATTTATTAGGCAATTTTTAAAAAAATTTTTTTGATAGGTAAAAAAAGCAATAACATCTTTAGGCATGGAAAAAAACATACTATTTGCTGTAATTACATTAATTATAATTTTTGCATGCCTAAAAAGAAAGAAAATATTTAGACATTTGAATATGTTTTTACTAAGGCGACTGATCATTTTCCAAACCATGCCCAAGGAGAATAAATGCTTATGAAGCAGATCATCTCGAAAAGATAAAAAGCGACGAGATTGAAACTGGCGTCAAGTTTAAGTTCATAAGAATAAGGATAAAAAGTTAATTAGTACCAAATAAAGTAGGACAAAATTTCAGTATTAAGCGCTGTGAAAAGAATCGACTGATAAAGGTCAGATATAAAAAATTCAAGACTAAAGTCTTCCTTACGCAAATCTCACTTACCAATCAATGACGTTTGTTTGCATTTGAGACCGGAAAATAAATGCTAAAATTTGAAATATTTAATTAAATAATCATTAGTGAGTACTCGAAAGAACTATCTTCATCAGCCATCTAAAAAGAACAGATACAAGTTTATGTAATTTTAAAACTTTATTTTAAAAGAAAGTTTTAGTTTTTTACAAAAATTCATCAAAAAAAGCTGCCTATCAATTTATTTTACAAGTAAAGAATTAAAAGTTCACATAAATAATTTTGTTAAAAAAAAGTTGGAAAAGAAATTGATGTTCAGTAAGAATATTTAAGAAGGAGAGAATCTTTTAGTGGACAACAGAAGAATTATCGATGGACAGAGTAGAAGTGAAAAGGAATGTTTACTTTTCGCTTGCTTCAGCACTTACTTGTAATTTACCGAAATCAGAACTCGTTTTATTTTTGCGTAGGGAAAGGAATATCATTAAAAACTGCTAGTAGTTTCGATAAAGCAACACCCGCAACAGGTAGATTGGTATTAGATAAGTTGCAGGTAAAGTGACCCCAACTCAAACTCAAATGAGGTAAGCAATGATAAAATTATAAAAAGGTTAAATAAGATAGAGCAAATGAAATAATATACTGCATTTATTTAAATGCATTTATCTAAAATATGAATTATATATTAGGGATATCTTTAGTACTTATTTTACATACTTCTATTATATTATATTTTATATGTTAGGAATATTTTTACTACTTATTTTACACCAACAGTGGTTTTGCTTTTTAGTTTTCAAAAATTTTCCTCGTAAAGTTTACTAATTTGAGTTGTTTTTCTGCAAGTGCAGTTGTGTATAGCAGATTGTCTTGCAAAAATAATGCATTTTTTCAAAAATTTGATCCTCTGATCTATCCATAATACTTGGTATTATTGCATTTGATTGGAACAAATAACTAACTTTTAAGAATTTCTCACAAAATTTCTATTAATTGTACGGATCAAAGCACTTGTTGTAGTTGTGTAACATGTGCAGTTATTGCTTTATTGGTAGAAAATTTATGTAGATCGCGAGTTCATAATTGCTAATTGATAATAATAATTTTTATCATTAACACAATTTTGATTTTGCTATTTTTATGAGCAATGATATGCTTACTTTTGCAGCACTACCATATAAGCGAACTAAGAAATCATTTCCTGCAGGTTTCTAAGATGCACGTCTGAAATTTCTTGTTATTTCTTTAATCATTATGACATCAGTTTTCTTTTCTGTACTAATCTCAACTCGTGTACTACTAATTTACTAATTTTGACATGCATGTCAGATAATTATCTCTTGCTAGCCTATAAATTTCAATTTTTGTCACTTCGATTGGTCACTAAATCGCAGTAAGGCACAAAACCAATGGTAGAGCAAGTGAAATTTGCAGGTATTTGTGTTGCCAAATGCAGTTCTCTTAATTCCTTGTCTGTCATTTTAAATCAATAATGTGCTTTCAATAGTCATTCATCTGTCCCTTTTCTCGAATTTGTTAGGAGAGAAAAATTGACTAAGACTTACTTCATCAGGCGATCAGTTGGCTTTGAATTTAACAGGTTTCACCACTGATGACTGTTAATTACGTAGAAGAAGAGTATTTTCTTCTACGTAATTAACATACACTTACGTAAACAATGCTAATCTCAATCTATCGATACGCTTAATTACGATACTTTCAACTTTCGACTTTTAAATCTGTGAAGACAAAAAAAAATTTTGCTGTTCTATTAATTGTTAACATTAAATTTACATTTCTGTGGCAAAATTAAAAATTTCTGTCTCGTAGAGATGTATAGAACTTTGTAATGAGTGATGTAAGCCCATTAAAAGCTCTTCTTTTTCATCTTTCTACCATTTGAAAATATTTTATTAATTTTGAGTGAATTAAAAGAAAAGGACTTGCAGGAAAAATTGATAACTATTTTGTATTTCGAATTTAAATTAATATTAGTGTAATTTCTGTACATGGAGTAAGAATGAGTGAATGACTAAGTGATGCTATACGAACTAATAATTGCAAAATCCCAATCAAAAGTTATTTTTAGATTGTAGCAAAAAAATTGGCATAAAATATTTAAGTCACGTAGATGCTTGATCTGTTTGTTAAAAAACACAAGAATTACAACAAAAATTACTACTACTTAAAAGAATTTATTTTAAAAAACTTCTACTGGAATAAAATTTCTCGAACTGACAAAAAAATTTATAACAAATTTTGGAGAAATGTCTTTGTCTTTCATAAAGTGCCAGCAAAAAGAGAAAAAAGTTCAAAAATACTTTGAATGATAATAAATTTTCAAAAGTTGTGGTTGAGTTTAAAAATTTGGCATAGAAATACAAGATTTAATAACTTTATTTTTCATAAAAAAATTGATGATAAAATTGAATAATAATAACAAAACAATGCGGCTTTTTTCTTTAATTTTATAAATGTAGAAAATAAAGATGAAATGCGTGACAATTTATAACGCAAGGTCATCTTAAAAAGAAAACCATGCTGACGTACCTATTGTATGCTACGTCTCGCAAACAATTCCCAACTGCATGGCATAAAATTCAACTTTGATTCATCTCTTTTTCTTCCTAAATGAAACAGTTTTGAATACAAAGTTCAAAGGACAGCATTTTTTAAATTCAAATTCAATTCTATCATATTCAGTTATCGTAAATTCACTTTGTTTAGCTTCAAAATTTGGAATTGTCATGTTATGATTTCAAATGTATTTCACACTAAATCAGTGATATTTTAGTTCTAACAAAAAACTTAATTAAAATGTGATCTAATCGTTAAAAATTTCTTTCCTTCTTTCGACTTCGACGATTTTAAAAATTTTCAAACTTTGTATAATTTGTTAAAGTGTTTCAGGCTGAACAGAAGAGAGAAACAAAAATATTTGTGAGTGTGAAAATTGGCTTAATTAATATTTTATTAAAAAATGAGAGGTATTTATTTCATTTTACTTTGGTTACTTGTGCTTCTTTTCGTTAATTGCCAGCAGCGCTTTATGCAAAACTGCGATGAAGCACCAACACCTGAAGCCAAACAAGTCTGCTTTATGGTATGTATTAGAAGATCGCGCTTCTCGATTTTTGAAAATCGCAAAGATTTTTTTTTGCGAAAACTTTATTGTTTTATCTTATTTTTTTTGCAGTGAAAAAGTACTGGATTTTATAGCTGCCTTATTTCAGATAGATAAGTATTAATCAGGCCAAAGTATTTAAATAAAAATCTTCATTTTAACTGTAACAAAAAAGCAGCAATAAAATTGAAGTTGCAACGAATGGCTCGAAATTCTTCAAGACATAGGCCGAACAAACCTGTACATCGTATTCCATCTCCACCGGAATTTCTTCGACCTGCCCCCATTCAACCTAATGCCAGAGGTCAGATTGCCAGCCATCCATACGATTGCATGACAATAACATGTTTGTGCCCATTCTTTAGAGTAAGTCGGTTTTAAGCTTGAGTAGGTTATTGCTCTGTTGCAAATTTTTGCTGTCGTTATAAACAATCAATGAGTCATTCATAATTTTCTTAACACCACAATAGATCAATCTTTAAACAACAAATATTAAAAATAAAAAGTGATAAATTAGGTGATTAACTCTTTAGTTTTGTTATGGATTGCTAAAAAATGAAGCGATGAATTAGAAGCGGTTATAGTACCGTAATAATAGCAAACTAGAATTAATAATGAACTAAAATTGTAATGCAATGTACTGAAAGCAAAGATCCATGCTGATATCTTGAGATCAAAATGAATCAACTACAATGCATGTATGAAATGTTAAGACTGATAAACAACTAAGTCTAGAAATAGTATTGTGAGAAATACTAAAAATTTAAAGCTTGATATGCAATGAATTTGAAAATAACGGAATAATTTTTGTAACAAATAACTTGCTCGGTAATTTGCATAAAGATGGAATTTTTTTAGGGTTCATTAGGGCCTGAAAATCAATGCATTTTACCAAATGGACAGCTTCTGACGATGGCATATCGAAAAGAATACAGAATGCTTTCAGAAGATGAACGTTTGAGATATCATTACACCCTGCAAATATTGAAACAAAGCGGTGAATACGATCGGATGACTTATGAGCATCAGTCGGTCAGCTGCGCATCGATTTTACAATTTGAAAATAAGAAAAAATTGATTGCATTTTACGAAAATAAATTAATTACAAAAATGATTCAGAGTACGTAACTGATAATATAGAGAGCTGAGAAGATAAACTTCCGTTTTCTTCTAGATTTTGTATCAATATTTTTGAAATTTATTTACTTGGTCTTAATTTCATATAAATTATGATCTAATGTTCATTCTTTTTGTTCAAAATGTTAAGGTTTGAATGCTATAAATTGCTACTTTTAAAAAATTTCAACAACTGCAGGTGGGTCAGGGAAGCGGAGCGCATTCTGGGCCTGGATTTTTGCCCTGGCATCGAGAATTTCTGAAAAGGTTAATTCCAACTATACAAAATAAATTTTTAAATGTTTTTTTTTTCAAAAAAAGGAACAAAATTTTTAAGTCACAAAGTTTGATGAAAGAAAAAAGCGTTTTAGATTTGAAATTGCAATTCGTTTGATCGATCCAACTGTATCAATACCATATTGGGATTCTGTTTTGGATAGTTATTTACCTGATCCAAAAGATTCCATCTTTTTTACTCCACTGTTTATGGGTGAAAATGATGAATTTGGTAATGTTGTTACAGGTCCATTTGCATATTGGAGTACTATCGATGGTAGACCGGCCATTTTACGGTAAACCATACAATTCAATATTTATCTTAAATTATTTATGTAAGAAGCATGAGATTTGAATAATAAAGTATACTTTGCCTCAATGAAATCAACACCAAATGCAGTTACATTCCAAAAAGAGATCACTTATATTTTTTACAGATAGGCTGCACTCATAAAGTACACACTAATTAATAATTTACAAATATAGTTTTGTGCAGCAATTGCTATAATTTTCAGTTTTTCTTTCAAATATTGGTAGTTATTCCATTCAGACATCTTTTGAAAATTCCTATATATGACCACTGTTCAATTTCAGTTTGTATGATTTTAGATTTTTCTGCCAAAGTTCATAACAATATAATTTTTATAGATCTCTTGGAGAGAAGGGAAAATTGTTTACTGAATATGACATCGCTGATATCTTAGCACAAACACAAATCGAACAAATTATGGCCTATACAGCACCACTGAATGGTATGCCTGTGGGTTTTCCAGTTGACGATATTATTCTGTAATAAATACTCAAAAACTCAGAACTAATCTAATCCATCCAGTTATCATAACAGTTTAACCAAAATTCCTTGTAATTTGGAAGGATTCTTCAAGACGAAATTCTCAGTGAATTTGATAAACTATCATAAAGGTTCAATTTTGCTTGCATGGATTAGATCAGAATAATGTATCATCAGGTCACAAAAAATTGAAACTAGGATTCAGTTTAGATTGACAGCACATAATCAATTACTGCCTTTCTACATAAAATTAAGTTGAAAACGAATTAATTTAGCTGATATCCAGCCTAACCAACTTTTTCATATTCATTTCTTTGAATTTCGCTCTTCAAGTATATTTTTTTGCAGTCGACATTTGCTTTACAAAGCTGGCCTCTTCTAACGTTTTCTAATGACAAATTATTGTTTATGCATAATCTGAATGATTGCTATCAAGTATTTACTCATGTACACTTGGTTGATATTTCCTAATTATTTAACTGCATACATGGCATTCTCACTTTAATTTTTTAATTTATTAAACTAATTATTTGTGTTAAAATAACAATTTAAATTTTCTATACCATTATTTTACTGAATAACAAGAATTAAAATGATTTGTCATTACTTTTTTACAGATTGTCCTTATCAGCCAATGTTCACTGCCCTTGAATATACGCATTCATTTGTCCACCTTTGGGTTGGTGGACACATGGAACCACCGGAACAATCCTCCAATGACCCTATATTCTACTCTCTTCATTCATTCGTTGATCTTATTTGGGAATTATGGCGTCAAAATCACCAGTCACGTTGGGCGCGAGAAACTGTTCGTGACTTTTGTGTGCATTTGCATTTTTCAAATACCAATCTGTTATATTCTTTTTCTACATTGAATGTTGATGAATTTTGCCATATTTATGAAAAAAATATTACATAGAACTTACTCGAAAAACTTTCCAAATCATGCTAGCAAAGCTAATATGATAGGAAATTTTTATCTTAGTTCCGAAAATAATTTTGTTCAGCAATATTCTCAAGATATCGAGCAGTGCTCGGATCCGCAACATTTCAGTTATGCCAATATGCGACCTTTCAATTTGATCAATCGTGATGGTTAGCCTTATGATAATTTTAGCTTTGTAATGACTGAACACTTTTTGAAGATAATGAAAAAATTAAAGTGGCTTAATGTTATACTCGATACAATTGAAATTGACTAATTTTAATAAAAAGCGAATGCCCGCTTCTTCCATAATTTTCAAAGAAACTAACAGCGATTTGTTTTCGAATTTTATATCTCAGATTTAAAAATTTTGACGAAATTGTTAGAAATGTATTAGACTTACTCAAATAACTCTGTATGATGTTTACCCTCATTTCATGTTTATCCAATCTTTACACCGATCAAATGTATCGTTTTGCGACTCGACCTAGTTGTGCTTTGCCAGAATCTACATGTTCATCACCCTACCTGTTTTGTGACTCACGCATAATACCACATTGTGTGTCTAAAATTAGATTCGGTGGTGTATGCAGCGGTTTTGAAGGACTTGACGCATGCTTCAATAGTGTTTGTGTAATGGGTCGATGTGTTGCAGGAACTCCGCCAACGGTAGTATTCCGTCTAGATTTGCATTATAGCTAAGCTGTTGTGTAAAAGCCAATATTTCTTAAAAAAAATACTTTTGTTCAATTATTTTTCCACGACTTGTGGAAAAAACTGGTACAAATACAGTGACAAATGCAGTCATTCTAATATCAATCTTTTCTTCTCCTTTTTTAAATGGTTCGATCTGTTAATGGATTGATAGAGATGAAATCACTTCCCTTCAATGTGTATCCCAAAACCTGTTTTGATTTTGAAAATGTATTCAAAGTTTGTTTGCATATAGATATATTCAAATTTGGATTTGAATACTAATTATTAGTAGAGAAATATTTTAATGTATTATTATCTTGATTAAGTAATATGTGTAATAAAAAATCATCAATGTTTTCAGTAAATAACCTGAGTAATCACTGTTTGTAGCCATTTGTACCGCAGTCTCAAATGCCAGTCGTACAACGCACGCAAATAAAGCAACAACACGCCGTTCGAATATTCGTGAACTGTTTCAACCAGGAGCCCTGTTGTGAGCAGTGGGCCAGAGAGGGCAACTGTCAGTCCCGTAAGACTGAAATATTAAAAATATGCTCAGCAGCATGTGGCAAATGTCGCCCTGCCTACAACATCTCCGACGGTATCGCCCTCATCCTTCCTATCATTTCGATCTTCTGAAATTTCTTCACTTATTTTCTAGAAACTTCGCTCAATTTGAAATGATGTCACCCAGTAAAAAGCAGTAAAAACTGATTTATTTTGAAGAGTGCACTGATCGTCACGTGTCATGTAAGCAGTGGAAATCAGAGGGACGATGCTCGCGAAATCCTGACAATTTTATTGCAGAAAACTGTCGTTCGTCATGTCAACTTTGTGCTGTTAAGAAAAATTTACAGTGTCAGAAGTTCAAGACTGTAAGTTTTAGTTTTTTACAAAAATGTTAAATGAAATCAATAAAAGTTTTATTTGTAAAAAAACTGAGCTCACATACTTTTTTATCCATTTTTTTGAATAATTATAAGTAGAGAAAGCATTATTATTATTGCTTTAGTTACAATAACTAATTGAAAAGACGTTGTTAATCGTTTACTAAAATTTTTCAATAAAACGTTAATGATAATCTACTTCAGTAATAAATAATTTCAATCATTCGTTAAGCCTGTTTCTTGAAAATAACTTTTTAATGGTACACCAGGCAGAAGTCGCCTTTACAAATGCATGTAAATTATGTTAATAAGAGCAATAATAGTAATATTATAGTAATAATAATAATAGTAATAATACTATTATTATTATTATTATTATTATTATTATTATTATTATTATTA